TTAGATAAAATTAATCGATTTTAAGCACAAATAATAAATAATTTTATATATTTTAAATCTTAATAATTTAATAAATACATTTAAACGGATTAGACATGGTGAGCAAAGTGAGTTTAACTTATTGATCTTATGGAACCCTTTTCTGTCACTGTCACAATCTCAACTTTCCAAGTTTCATCTCCACGTTTCTTAACTACTATGGTGTATCTTTTACTCTGATTGGGTTAAAAATACAGGGAAAGGACCGAGGATTACACTGGCTATGGGGATGAGCTAGGTTCTTTCAGGTAATAGCTAGATTTGGTCTACAACTTTGAACAAAATCCAGCAGTCGAAGAATTCCCTAAAGTTGAGATAAGCTTTTCTCAACCTGACCTAAACTTTAGGGTAAAATATTCTTTATCTTTTAAATTTTGATTAAAATTTTATTAATTTTTAAAATAAATATTTTATTTTAAAAACTATTTTTTATTTGATACGTAAGTCTAACCTTTAGTTAATAATTAATATTTTTTTTAATTTATTAAAATGATAAGAATAAAAAAATTAATCTTAATTAATTTTTATAATAATTATTATTATTTATTTTCTTATTGATTAAGCAAAGGACTTCCAAAGCTCCCCTAGGGTGGCCCAATCGGGTTCCCCTCCAGACCAGTGCTCCCCTTTCTTGAAGAGTTGGGAAGCACCGATCTATCCTTTTTTTCTTTTTTTTTTAAATATAATAATAATTTTTTAAATTAATAAAAAATATTTTAAATTTTTTTATAATTTTTGTTAATAGTATTTATATTTTTAAAGTGAAGTATCTATTTTAAAAATTAATAAAATTTTAATTAAAATTTAAAAAAAATAAAAACATTTTACCCTATAATTTACTAATATAAGACTTTTTTTTTTTTTGTTGCTATAGTCTCTTTTTAAGATGAGCATGGAATTAGGGACAAATCCAGCTCAAGCATATTAAAAGCATCTGCTTTGACATCAATTCTTTCATAAGTGGAGACACAGGCTGCAGCATCTATTGAGTTTGAGGATCCTCTTTTTAGTCGACAACAAAGCTGGCATTATCCTTCAGGAATGAAATTCTTGAAAGAATTTAATTCAACAATCCAATTTTAATTTGACAATTAGTATCACTTTAGTAACTAAGTTCAAAACCCTTATTTGTTTATCTTTGTAATTCTCTTTATAGAGAGATATAACTATTAATTATCTTGTCATATTTTGATCGAATGATTCAAAAAGTAAATAGAATATTAAATTTATGAAGATGGCCTCATATGTTGAGATATTATTCTTTCCACTCCCACTCTCTTCACCCTCTTTTTCGTCAATAAATTAAAAAAAAATGTATAATCTTGACTCAAAATCCTAAAACTAGAGGTAGGAAATTTCATTCGAAACCCCTGTACAAGATTTTCATTACACCACTAATGCATGAAAGCGAAGCAAACCTTTGACAAGGACAGCCTAGTAATGTGGAAATGTCCATGTGGTCAAGTAAACCAAGCATGGTATCACGAAAATGTTATGGGTGTAAAGAATATGCCCCGTCTAATACGCAAAGAATATGCTTAGAGTTAGGTTAAATTAGACGAAGAAATCAGCCGTGATTTACTACTTGTACAACCACTTAAATAATCTCTTTTCCATATTATTAAAATTCTAAGTATGTTAAAACTTACAAAAATATCGTCAAAAAATTTTAACATGGTCCAACGACCTTTGGATCACTCAAAGTAGTAGTAGCTAGATAGAGTCAAGTACCATTGCAGGAGTCTATTGAATATATTTATAATTAATAAATTTATGATTCAAACTAATTGATACTTTTAATCAGTATCTCTTAGAGTTGACTCTTTTTATTGCTTCAACGATAATCCTATAATTTTCTCCTCCTAATAATATTCTTTTTGCAATTTGATGATACCCTTTTTCTTTATGATTAATCGATATTAGGAAAATATAGAATACACCTTTTAATCATGCAAGTTAAACTAGCAAATTAAAAGAAATTCCCATACTTGGAGGTGTCACCTCTCATAAAGTTAGGTACAGTGTTAACTCTACCTAATTCCTATTAGATGGTGTCAGACGATATCTAATTAAGTGTTTTGTGTAGAAACTATGTAGTTAACACTGCAATATCTCATCTGGACATCCACCCCTTGAAGTCACTAGCTTAATTAAAAATCATTCAGCCAAAGACTTGTATTCTTAGTCACACTACAACCACATGGGAATATAGCGTTCTTGAATATATTAAATTAAATTAAATTAATGGTGCCTGGAACGCCAACTTGAATTATATAAATTCACGTTAAGGCAACAGGGGCAGTGACTATTATGCATTTGTTTTTCTTTATATAATTGGGATAGGGATCTTCCTTTATATAAATAAAGTATTCGAGCTCGGTTTAACCACTAAAACATCAATAAATACGTCATCCCTTTATTTAAAAAATATAAATTTAAATTCAAACCCTTCTTCTTTCATTAAAAAAATATTAGTTTGGTCAGAGAATGTAATCATCATACTTCGCTGACTCTTTAGATCTTGAGTTGCACAAAAAGAGAAATACTTTTGAGTTAAAACGGCAGTGTTGATTAAAATTGGGACCATGAGCACAAGAGAAGACAAGGGAAAACGCTAATGGAGAAGGCTGAAGCATGATACATGTGCCTCAAATGTTTCTGTTGCGGCTGCACGTTTGCCATGAATCATTACGCATTGATGTTCCATCTCCATCATCACATATCGCAGCAATGAAATTTGTTTTGGCCTTTCACAAATCACAGTATGCCGAGTGTAAATTCCATGGATGTAATCGTTACTGTAATCATGTCCTTCCAGAAGCAAATAAACTTTTGGGTTTATATTATCTTTACATGAAAGTTGTGATCCATATGGGGGAAAACAATCCATATGTAAAAGTAGAACTCTTCAATGCACTGAAGACTAAAGAGCAAAGACGAGGATAAGGCCACCGACCAGCCGTCCATTTCCTATAACATCTTGCTAAAAGCCTTGGCCTTTACTTTAGTGAATGCACATCAAAAGACTAGTCAGACCTTTCGTTTTAAGCATGGAAATTGTAAAGCATTCTTCATGTGAAGTACCTTTCATGGGCTAGCCAGCTGTAGAATACTACTTAGTACAAATTATATTATTTGTCAAATTGTAATTTGTTATAATTATTTTTTATAAAAAAGGTAAAAACAATCAAATTATAATAAAACAATACATAAGAATTAAACTCTCTTAATTTTTGCTTAAAAGAATAAATGTATTGCCCATAAAAATATCTTTGAGAAATATCGTGCTTATGGGATTTTGAAATATTAAATTTGAAATATATGATTTTCACTTGCCATTCCTTTTTCAAAAAACTTTTAATAGGTGAGATCAAACCAAAATTCACATTTAGTTCATCATTCTCCATATGAATAGTTTGTGCTGCACTTTTATTATCCATGGCCAAAATCATTCTCAGATAACCAATTCATCCCATGTCATTAGTAGACCCCAATAAACCGTTTATAATTCTGCTCTATGAGTTGAGTTGTTGCCAAGCTCCACTAGAAAACCACATTTCCATATACCTATTGATCGTGAAGAACTCCACATGTAGTAGATTGATAACAGAAGGCTCGATAAGCTCCATTCATATTAAGCAATACCCAATTCAAAGATGGCGGGGGCCAACCAATCGACATCTCCACACTTGTTCTAGTACTAGCAGTACCTGTGGAAATGGAATATGGCCAACATCAAATGGTGTCTTCCAATTACCTGCTTATTAGAATGACCCTGCTAGTAGTATTCACCTTGTGATGATTAAATGTCGTGTCATTCCTCCACTTCCAAAGCCGCCATACACACCCCCAGTGTTCATAAAAAGATGAGATGACATCACCTTTTAGGTTCTTTTAAAACCAATCAGTAGAATTTCAACTATGAAACGAATCATGCATCGAATGAGAAGCAAAATACTTTCACATAGCTTTGGCAGAAGGACAATCACGAACAATATGAATCACCCTTTTCCTCCTCTGTATTGTCCAACGAACAATATGAGTTATTGGACATATGATGACGAGCATCGCTCCATCTTAGTTAAAAGTCGTTCTTTACATGCTAGTTATAAAAGAGTGCAGATGCAATGGGAACCAGGCCATTTCCAAATCACTTATCAAATCTTATTTTCTGTTAAGCAATCAGGCCTCGCAATGTAGTTATATGATGAATTAACTATGAATTTTATTTACCTGTTTGGGAGGCTGTCCAAAAGCTCAAATCTTCATGAGCATTTGGCTCAGGGGTTTATGAACCAATATATGTACATAATTGCTTCATGTGGAATGATGTTTAAAACTATTTATAGGTCTAAGTGCCATGCACAAGCATTAAACTTGTCGTAATTGCTTTAGAATCATACAAGTTAAAATTATAACTATAGTAATTAGAAGGGCAGCCGGCAGCCACGTTTAACATGGGTAAAGAAATAGCTCTGAACAACGATTATACATTAATGAACCTTAAAACCTGAAAAAATACATTACCTTTTAAAAATAAAATAAAAAATAAAATAGTAAAGAAGAGAGAGAAAAAATATTTAAGAACACAAGGAAAAAAGAGAGAAAAAAACAAAGATACTAATAATCCAAAGCCAAAATCGAAGACAGATTTCGAGACAGAACAGCAAGATTTGATTGCAGGGGCTTCCAAGTTCCCGTTGGGACCACCTGACACCCATTGTCCATTGGTCCGTACAGACGTAAACGGAAATGACACACTACTCACCAATGGCTACTGCTTCTTTACTGAATTTACTTTACGTGCTACTCTTGTCCTTGCTCACTGCACAGTAGGAAAATGACTTGCCCTTTAAAAGAATAGTTGACCGTTGAGTTTTTGGACGGACACCTGTTAAAAGCTGGGCGTCCTTTTTTACTCTAATAACATTTTTTTCCAATAATTTAATGCGTTACATTACTCCCTCAACAACGGAGCAGTAGCGGTGTTTCTTCTTCTGTCCGTATTTTATTTCATTAACTATTCCATTTTACTCTTGGGCTTTCTCCTTGCAAACTCCGTTGATCTTTCAAAAAGAAGAAACAAAATTTCATCAGAGATTTCAAGGAAAAGAAACCCAAGAACCCATCGATGATTTCCACGTCTTCATTCCTCAATCCAGTTAAACACTTTTTGATGCTACATTGATCAAGCTTCGGTGTATCGATTCCCCCAGTGTAGTTTAAAGTGAGTGTGATCTTGATCTTGATCTTGGTTTTGGTCATATCTAGGCATGGGGTTTGCCAGCGATTCAATTCTTGCTCGTGGTCTTATAATTGATAGAGCCACAAAATTTGGTCTTAAAAATGAAGCTTTTGGAGCCAAGATTGTACATTGCAGGGCTTTTGGCAATGGAGGTAAAGTCAAGGGCAAGGTCAGGGTTGAAGTCAGAGCAGCCGTGCAGATTGGTGGTTTAGAGGAAGTAAAGAAAGCAAAAGAAGAATTGGGTTTTGATGTAGTGTCCGAGGGGGAGTTGAGAGAAAAGGGTTTCTTGGGGATGAGGAAAACAAAGCTAGTTTGCACCATAGGGCCGGCTTGTTGTTCAATGGAGGATTTGGAGAAGTTGGCGTTGGGAGGAATGAATGTAGCTAGGTTTAATATGTGCCACAACACACGGGGTTGGCACCGTGATGTGATTAAGAAGATCAAGAGGTTGAATGAGGAAAAGGGTTTCTGTATTTCAGTTATGATTGATACTGAAGGTAGTCAGATTCATGTGCTTGATCATGGTGCTCCTTCTTCTGTCAAAGCAGAGGTAATCCTTTTTCTCTGTCTTTTATTTTCTAGGACTTTATGATTCTATCGTAGTATATGTGTTTTACATTATTAGAAGTTGCTCTAATAGTGGAAAACATGAATGTTTAGACTTTGGAGTCATGTTCTTGTGCATTCCTACGAAAAAGAAAATTGTTCTTGCACATGTAGCAAAATTTGTGAGAAGAGAGAGGCAATTTTGATTGGTTGTACTTTTTGTTTCCTTGTCGGCATACAGGAAGGTTCTATCTGGTTATTTACTACTCAAAAATCTGATGGTTCCTCTCCATTCACAGTTCAAGCAAATTACAAAGGTTTCTCTGAAGGTAGTAAAGCTATTTGTAATGGTTCAAGAATCACTTCAACCAGATGCTAATGGTTGACGTCTTTTTATATTTAAGGATAATTCTATCTCAATATATTGAATGGTTGGCAGGTATTGAAGTGGGTGATGTACTTGTCATTGATGGTGGAATGGCAAGCTTTGAAGTAATTGAGAAAGTTGGGAATGATTTGCGTTGTCAGTGCACAGACTCCGGTCTATTTCTACCACGTGCCAAATTTAGCTTTTGGAGAGATGGAAAGCTTGTGGAAAGGAACTATGACCTTCCTACTTTATCAAAAAAGGTCCAATTCATTTGATTGTGGGTTTGATTTGGAATTATTCTTAGAAACCATAGCCGTTATGGACGAATTCTTTATTTCAATTTAGCCAATTTCTGAGTTCATGGATATCAAATCTGCATTTGCAAGTAATTGACTTTACCAGCTAAATGCTATATTAGAAGATAATTTTCAGTCTTGCCATGCTTTGGGAAACAATATAATTCTTTCTAATCCTCACAAATATATATATCATTGAATCTTCAGGATTGGGCTGACATTGAGTTTGGAGTTTCCGAAGGTGTTGACTTCATCGCCCTCTCTTTTGTAAATGATGCTGATTCTGTCAGGCAATTGAAGAACTATCTCTACATGAGGTCATGCAGGTAAAAACCATCACCATGCTAAATCTTTATCAATTATACTAGCTCACCAAACACTATAAAAGTGTTATACTGGCTCAACAATCTCACCTATTCAGAACTTATCATTTTCTCTCCATATAATTCCGTTCCTTTTGGGGCCAGCTTCTATGTATTATACCTTACTGTTGTCTAGAAACAGATTATTTGGTTATTTGTGATATTTCTGAAAGGTTATTGGATCGTTAAGCCTTACATGTGCCAGATTGTCAGGATAGGATGCCATTTTGCTAATTTAGAGAAAATTCCTATTAAGAATTCTCCTCATTTTGAGGCACTATTAAATTCAATATTACAAGAGGGAGGCATCAACCTTCTCTAATCTGTAACTCAAATTTATAAGTAGAACTTGAATGATGTATGCAATATAATTGAAAACAAAGTTTTAATCTTTGTAAGGCTGGAATTTGATTAAATCACCCTTGACAAATAGATTTGTTGTATATGCTACCTAAAAAAAAAAAGTCAAGCTTCGTCATGCGAGTAAAAGTGTGAATTTCAATGGTGAATGTCATCTTTCTGCAGTTAAACACCTACATGTAATTTAAATTTTCTGGGAACGAGAGTTATATATTTATTTGCCTTGCTTCCCAAAATTTATGAAAACCACAAATTGTTGCCATGTGCAGATCCACAAGGGTATTGGCAAAGATCGAGAGCTTGGAATCCCTCCAGAAATTGGAAGAGATTGTAAAGGCCTCTGATGGTATCATGGTGGCTCGAGGTGACCTTGGAGTTGAAATCCCTTATGAACAGATTCCAACAGTTCAAGAGGAAATAACCAATGTTTGCAGAGAACTGAACAAGCCAGTTATTGTAGCTTCTCAACTTCTTCAGTCAATGGTTGAATATCCAACTCCAACACGAGCTGAGGTAGTGTCGTTGTTGATAATTGGTTTGTGAGAAAAACATTCAAAGGAAATTGACATTCGAGCAATTAGATTTTTCCTGGACACGTTTAGAATTTCTTTGTAATATATTCTTCTGTGGACAATCAGGTTGCAGATGTTTCTGAAGCAGTTCGGCAATATGCTGATGCCCTAATGTTATCTGGTGAGTCAGCTATTGGTCCATATGGACAGAAGGCTCTTTCTGTCTTGCAGATGGCTAGTAGTCGAATGGAACTATGGAGTCGTGAGGAAAATCGACAAAGTATTCTCCATCGGCTCCAACTTGGAGTGTCATTGCCTGATCGTATTGCTGAGCAGATCTGCAATTGTGCTGTTCAAATGGGTATTTATCCTCATCAGCTTTCCTGTACAATGAAAATTTAGTCTTGTTAGTATTATGTGCTATAAAGTATACCAACCTGACTTAGAGATTCTTCATTCTAAGATTCAAACTTGGGAAAGAGCCAGCCACTAGTTACTGCAATTGCCTTAAGCAATTGATGTCAATTGTAGTGGAAAATTATGTTTTAATCTAGGTTGTTCCCCATTTTCCCATAAAAAGAAAAAGGAAAAAAGATTGATAATTGAGTTAGCAATATTTTAAGTACTCTAGCAGTTCAGGCACATGATTTGGCTTGTTAGAACCTACGAGAGCTTTTGCATGACATGCCCCTTCATATAACCGTGCACTTTCTCTGCAGCTAATAATCTTGGTGTTGATGCCATCTTTGTGTACACAAAGTATGGACAAATGGCATCACTCTTGTCTCGCAACCGTCCATACCCTCCCATATTTGCATTCACAAGAGATAACAGCACCAGGATGGCTCTGAATCTTCAATGGGGAGTTATTCCCATCCTTGTTGATCTGTCAGATGATATGGAGGCAAACATCTCAAGAACCATTGACCTTATAAGAACAAAGGGCTTGTTGAAAACTGGAGATGTTGTTTTGGTTGTCTCAGATTTAACTCCAGCTCATTTAAATTCCACAGCATTTCAATCGATCCAAGTGAAGACAGTTGTTTAGGAAGTCAATATTTGCCTTCGACATGATACTCAACTATCGTCCATGATAACTAGTAAGAAAAGGCACAGAGATGGTGGAGTCTCTTGACTCCATCCAGAGGTACCAAGTCACACATGTTAATCTTTTTCTTACACTCCAATGTTTGTGACTTGAGAACAATGCATCATTATTCCTTTTGCAAATGAGTGAAAAAGTATTTTTAGCTGCTATCCTATTGCATTATCACATTTATAATCAATTTAGAATGCTTCCACGTTAGGGATGGATAAGGGATAAGTTGGCTCTTGGGGCAACATATGCAATATGAAAGCAACCCCATTTCAGGTTTCTGTTTACACACATCTCCTCTTGTTTTTTGTATACTCTACAGTACTATGGAATACTTGTAAGCAATCCTTGAAAGTCCGAAGATATGCCTAGTAATTTCCCCCACATAGCCTAGTAATTTATTTGCTTGAAATGCATTTCTATGAGAGCTTTGAGAAACATTGATCAGTTATTTCCAATTCCAGGAAATCTTAATAATAAATATAATTTGATTGCTTATTGATGCATGAATAAGTCACTCTAGTTATTTTCAGTCCAGAAGAGCAGTTGAAGAATCGTCAATAATTGCGGTCTTTCTGAGAATTCATACCGTTCCCCATGTTCAGATTAGAATTATTCGAATCAAAATTGGACTCGTCCTCTCAATAGGAATTAGGAGCACTTGATGGTATGCTTCTCCTTATACAGGAGACATATATTCAAGCCATTCAGGCATGCTTCAACATTTTTCTTACAGAACACCCAAGTGGCTTTTAAGATGCTTTGTTTTGTACGGTGCAGCTAAGTGAGACTTGCAAGTCTCAGTTTCAATAATTCCAGTATCCTTGGAAAACTGGAGCTAGGATTAAAGCTACTAGAATCTTGTAACGCCTAAAGCAACTCCTCCTCCTCACTCATCCCCGACGTACACGCAATTCCAACGAACTTCTGTCTCTAGTAAGTGCAACGAAATTTGCCTCCATATTCTTAACGTGGAGATGTTCAGATTTCCTTCCTCTAAACAATGGAATTTTCGACACCGTCAAATGAAGAAAATTAACATGAAAAAAAAAAAGAAAAGAAAAAGCAAGAGTCGTCTAAATTAATTTTTCCAAATGAAACAAAAAATAAAAGGAATGGAATTTTATTGTACCAAAAAGACAAAAACACCTTTCCTAACACAAGTGAACGTCTTTGCATGAATCACGTGGCTGGAAAAAAGTTTAAAAAGCCGTCATTACGCATCGTATCAGATATGAAAATATAAAATGAATTTTCATTTGAAAAATGAAAAATCAAATTTTATATTAAAGTTTGAATGCATTTAGTGTCGGGAAATTGTACGAATATTTAATAAAATATAATAAGGGAGAAATAATTATATTTATATATAGTTGTCTTCAGAGGAGGCAGAGGGCGGGGGGTTCATTGGGGTCCGTTCTTTCAAAATTTAAAAATTTTAAAATTTTGTTTTTATTTTTTAAAATTTTATATTTTTATCTCTTTAAATATTAAATTATTTATTTTCTTCTCCACAGACGTGAGATTTTTATTCTGTCACTGATTGCCATACACCTATGACATTGAAGAATTCATGTCGTGGCTCATGAGACATAGTAGAAAATATTTAGTTCTACTGTAATTCTAGTAAATAAAACAATTATTTTTTTATTTTATCTTTTATTTAAAAAATTACGTGGGAGGTTTGTAGACATTGTCAAAGAGGAGTGGGTCCCAGTGAGAGGTCTTTCGCATTCGGGAACCACAACCGATGGCCACAAAGCCCGACCGCACACATCTCTCCCGCGCACAATAGCAACTGAAAACTCTATGGATCTAATTTACGCTCCAAAGGTGACGCTACCAAACAAACACCCAACCGCCTCTCGGGTCTCGTCGCCACTTGCTTCCTTCTTTCTTTCTTTCTTTCTTTCTTTGTTTCTTCTCTCCACTGCATAACTTACAAAAACCGAAAAGAAAAATACTTTTCTTTCCCATTCTTTTCCTCAAACGCAGAGAAGCTGTTTAACCATCAAACTTCTTATTTCTTTATGAAAAATTGAAAGTTCTCTTTTCTCTGTAATTTTTTGAAATTTAATGCGGAGAAATAAAAGAGTAATAAAATGGCTTCACTACAGCTTTTGAGCCCTGTTTTCTCTTCCATTTCCATTTCCCAGTCAAATTTTCGTGGAAAATCTGATTTCAGGAAGAAACTTCTCAGCTTCAATAGATGTAGGAGCTTCGGGCCTTTGCACAACCAAAGATCTAAAATTTATTGTGCCACTCAAGAAGGTGACAACAAAAGCAATGGTAAGTTGTTCAATTTTCTTTCATTTTGTACACATTTTAATTGCATCTTTTATCCTACTTTGATTACAGAAAATCTGAAACTAACCCAAGTTAAGTCCTTCTAAAAAACCTGAAAAGCTTTGGGAAACTAATGAAGAATAGATTGAAAAGATGAAACATTTGTAGTTACAACTTTGCTAACTTTTTGGATCAGAAAATGGGCTAAGAGATTAAGTTATTCATTTGGGTTGTTGGTTTTGCTTGAAAATTTTGTTAACTGGGTGCTTTTATTTTATATGGACGCTTATCAATTGGGTGTCTTTTACCCTTTTTTGAGTAGGTGAAGAGCCTCCTGAGTCACTGTTTATGAAGGAATTGAAGAGGAGGGGGATGACACCCACTTCGTTGCTGGAGGATGCCAAAAGAACCAGTTATGGAGTGGATGAGGAGATGAAAGTGGGGGAAGAAGCGGGAAGTTTCTCCAATAGGAATGTTGTCTCAACTGAATATGAGAAAAGCTTATCTAATCAAAGGGAGCGCTCCATGGAATTGAATAGCGAAGGCCTTGAGGTTGATAGATTTTTACTCAAATGATTTTGCATGCTGTGCCTTGTGTGAAAACAGTCTTGCTTATGTTGACTCCAAATTTTAAGCACAATCTTTCTTAAAAGATTTTCTTAAACATGTTTCTTTCATGTTCACTAAAGATGTCTTATTTCGTAAATTCTATTATGGTTTGTCTTGGTAATGTAACTTGACTGCTAGGTATTAATAATTGTACTTTGGCACGATTAAGTACAGTATGAATTATGATGTTAGCTTCCATAAATCTTAACAAGCCAGATTTAGAGCGTAAACTAGACTTTGTCTCCTTGATTGAATTTTGAAGGAAAATCAGAAATACCTTTACTTCAGGGGCTCACTTACATTTTCGTTGTTGCTATTAAAGATTTTATAAAAAGAAACAAAATTTCTCTATCTTCCTTCGGAGATTGTTGTAAAACCAACAATAACATTCTCTCTTTATTTGTACTTTCTGCTGCAATGAACTTGATATTTATTTGTGTTCTGTTTAGTTGAGCACTTCTGTGAGAAACCCAATGTTTCTTACTGCATATTTATCTCTTAATAGATATAACAAACTTTTCCATGATCAAGAGCATATTTTTTGTGGCTCATTTGTTTCAGTGTGGCTGAGCTAGACTTTATCTTTCTCTTACTTTAAGCGATGGGCATGTTTTTGTGCATTTAATTTGTGTACTTGTGATGCAAACACGTGTGAAACAAGAAATGAACTTATATTTTCCATTTTTCAGGGGCTAGTTCCTCGGGCTAAACTGTTGCTAACGATTGGAGGAACTTTCTTTCTTGGCTTTTGGCCTGTGATCCTTTCAACTATGGCATTTTTTACTGCTCTCTACCTTGTAAGTTCCCTTTCTTTCACTCTTCGATTTTGACTTTAGGAAGTTCACTTACAAAATACCTGCTATCATGGAGTGTGTTGTCATTGGAAATATTGCAGTGACTCCAGTGAACTTAAAAGGATAATTACATCTTGAAAAAGAATAAAAAATGGATTAATTTATTCTCTTTATCATTTTGTATGTAGCATTATTTCAGTCTTAGGTTGAAAATTTTGAATATACTTTTTTGATATTTATTTGACCTACATATGTTATTGAATTGGGAAGTTACTGGTGAAACGTTTCGGCGCTGTGTGCTGTACTGTTTTTATTAACTTTAACTATCACCCTATTTCTTCATCATCTGCCATTTGGAGTTTGGTTAGACCCTTGTTTTGTCCACTATCATCTTTGCTAAATTCCTTGCTGTTTTTCATTTTTTGATGCATTAGAAGGATTTATTTTATAGTCTTTCAGATAACGTTGATTGCAGATGCTTTTTATTTAGTTTGTATTTTATGGAGGCTATATACTGATAAATTTTCCTCGGGCAGTACTTTGGATCATCTTTCATTCATGATGCAAGCAAGACTCCCATTTCACCACCGCAACACGTTGACCCTTTTGCACTTCTGGAAGATGAAAGGATTTCTCAAACAGCCCCTCGTGTAAATTGAAGGACAAAATGCGTCCGGCATACGAGAAAATTCATAGACTTTAATTACAGGTTTCTGTAGCATATTTCCTTCACCTTCTGTAGTTCCTTCTTTGTAAATCATATATCAACAGGAACTTCTCGCTCCCATTGAAAGTTGTGTGTCTTTCATACTGTTTTAAAGATCCAATTCCTTGCCAAAATTGGCTTCAAATATAGACGGTTATAGACTTCATATTGTTACTTTTATATTTTTGTGGGATATTGTGGGGGAAGGAGATTGAATTGGAAGGGAGGCCTCAACTCCAGCCGGGACTTTTCCTTTGAGTTCCAAGAGGTGGCTGCTGGAGCAGAATTCCACATCTGGTGTCCTAAGCACAGTGCATTGGGTAGCAATCATGGGGGCATTAGCTGCATTATTCAATAGGTTGTTTATATGACTTTCTTTTTATCCTTTCCCTAACTTGCCGCTTTTATGATTGCATGTGGCCCCAATCCTTCATTTGCTTGGCATATATTGATATTTAGTCCGTTCATGGTGTCTCGGATAACAGGGAGTTCGGCACCTTTACCATTAATCTGGTTTTCAGGAAACGGCAAAACCAACAGGCGGGCAAGTGCGTAACATAAAGATTTGTCATTTCGTATGTGAAAAAAAGAGTACAAACTTCAAAGCTGCCTCTACCCAAAAAACCCCGGTATTAAGCTTGGTCATTGGTCATTTCCCCCATCGACACGGCTTTACTGTTTTAATCTAGTACAAGTTAGTAACATGTAATTATTAAAGCCTCAGCATAGACGGAGAGATTAACAATTACTCCAACTTTAGAGCTAGAAAAAACCTTAAAAGGTTTATTTCAGCCACGCAATGATAAATTTTGTTTGTCTATCAATATCAACACAATCATGAGCCAAGAATTTGATCGGTCTGACTTGCTGGAATCCAAGTAATTTATTGATACATCCATAAATGAATGTACTATGCCCTATGGACACGTTGTGAATGATGAGCTAATAGGGTTTCAATATTGTCCACTGTTGGTATGAAGAAGTCTATGAATGGGAAAACGAATGGTGACAGGCCGCTATCAAAGGGTCTTTGAAGCCCAATTTAATCAGCCAATTAATTGGAGACAAAATGGTGATGCAAACAGCTATTGTTTCCCATAGGGTAAAATCAGAAAATCTTGGCAACCCACTAAGTGAATCTCTGTTGCTTGCCAGATATTCACCAAATTAGGCCAACAAATGTTCAAAGACCCACTTATCCTAAGGCTATCCAACCTCACTCGACAGCCTCCATCAAGTAATTGCCATAGTAACAACCAGATGAAACCAAAGCAAATCAGGGGAAAAAGAAAAAAAAAACACTATTTCCCTTTTTCTTTCTTGTGGTGAGTGAAAGACAAATGTCTTGATTTCCGGCTCACTATGCCATGTTTTCCTCTCGAAGCAGAAAACTTTAACTAGCAGAAAAAGAAAGACAAGAGAACCAAAAGAAAAGGAGTTGCAAGAAGCATTTTGCCAATGTCTAGTCTCACTTTCTGTTTCCTTCACCCACCCTGTCAAACTACAAAGAATTTCTAGAAAAACATATAATATTACTTCTTCTTCTTAAGCTGTACTGCTTGTTAGGCTGATTTTTGTTCATCCTGCAGCTTTTTTCTTTCTTAGTCTAATTTTGAGTTTGATGGAGAAGACCTTTATGTGATTTGGAATAGAAAAAGATAAAAAAATTCTCAGTTTTACATTGCCAGGAGGTTAATAATATTGTCTAGCTAGATATTGGAAATAGAGACCATATTTACTGTGGTAAAAGAAGTTTTAGTAGAGAGCTTGAGCTCATATGTAACGCATGTAATTATAATTAACTTGCCTTCTTTACATTGATTTGTCCTAGCAGGTGATAATTATTTAAGGTATAATTCAGATGGTTGCCAAATAAAGTGATTTTACATTTCTTTAAGACTCTTCTTGAGTTCACAACAGAATAGAGGGAAAAGAATGATGTTTAGTAGCATCCAAGGAGTTTGGCCTTAATTTGGACCAAGAGATCTTCGAATGTAATCTCTCACACACAAGCATAAACCTAACACAGTTTAATAGTCTCTAGAGTCTAGACACATTATCAACAGGTATACAGAGAGAGAGATGACTCGAGACGTACAAGCAAGGATGAATGCCTTTATGTTGGATACCCTGGAAACTGCTAAGTCTACCGCTGCTGCTGCTGATGAGAATAGCTCCAAAAGAAAAGGTACCATTCTCCGCTTAGTTTCTGTAACAGAGACTTTGTGAGTAATAAATCTTGCTTTTGATTTTGGTATGATTGAATGGATAAACTGTTCGGATTTTGCAGGAACGTGGGTGACAGCAAGTGCACATATCATAACAGCAGTTATTGGTTCAGGAGTTTTATCCCTTTCATGGGCCATTGCCCAGTTAGGCTGGATTGCTGGTCCCGTTACCCTCTTACTCTTCTCTGCCATCACTTGGTTCACATCTACTCTGCTAGCTGATTGTTGCAGGGACCCTGTCTCGGGAAGAAGATGTAGCAGCTACATGGATGCTGTAAAATCTAATTTAGGTGACGGGCAAATCTGTTATATAATTATTGTTTTTGCCCTTTTTTTTTTTGTGGTCTATATTTGCTTCTATGTGGGTTCATTCTATTAAATACCATTCCAAAGTTTTCTACCAGAAATAGTTATAAACGGTTCATTAGGAGGATAATTACTTAAAAAGGAGAAAAATATTAACTGCATCACCTTGTTCACCAATTGTCAACTCACTTTTACTGCAACGAATTGGTCCACATATTTACTGTATAGGGCTAAATATTTAGTCGGAACAAATGAGTTGGAAACTCAGTGATTCGAAACTAGACTCTCAGAGAACAAATCGTTACTAGTTATTTCAAATAGACAACATCCCAATACTAATTTCTCTCTTTTTTTTTGCAGGAGGAATCCATTACAGGCTTTGTGGATTAGCTCAATATGTGAATCTTGTAGGGGTATCAATTGGATATTCAATCACTTCAGCTATTAGTATGGCGTAAGCTTTCTATATATCTGACTTTAGGCTTTTTATTTCGATTCAGGCTTTGTAAAGGCTTTTTTGAGTTTGATTTATATGCCAAAGTTGATGTTTTCTTGAATATAACTTGCTGGTCTTGTGTTATCTTTAACCAGGGCAATAAAAAGATCAGGTTGCTTTCACAAGAACGGCCATGATGCAGGCTGCCATGTTAAAAACAACGTGTTTATGATCATCTTTGGCCTCATAGAGATCATATTAAGCCAAATTCCTAATTTTCACGACCTTTCGGGACTCTCCGTGGTTGCTGCTATCATGTCTTTCGCATACTCTACCATAGGCCTCGGTCTCTCCATCGCCAAAATCGCAGGTCAAGAAACAATGCTAAACTTTTATTACCCTATTTAACGTACAGCTCCTTCTGTGAATTGTTAGAGAAATAGGGGAAGAAAATGTTGTGAATTTAGCTCAATCTGGTCACTCTTTATATATGTTGCAAAGGTAGTCATGCTAGGACAAGCATAACAGGGACAACCGTGGGAGTGGATGTGACAAGCGCGCAGAAGATCTGGAACTGGTTCGAAGCCATGGGAGACATTGCCTTCGCTTATGCTTTCTCTACTGTCCTCGTCGAGATACAGGCAACGTCTTTCCATTTCTAAATTCAGAGGAAAAATGTGACCCTGCAAAGTTTCCAAGAAAAAAAATATTTGTTCAGATATCCTGTAGTAATGATATATTCATGGATTTTGCAGGACACAATAAAATCAAATCCACCAGAAAATGAAGCCATGAAGAAGGCTACCTCTATTGGGATCTCAGTCACCACCATGTTCTACATGTTGTGTGGAGTTTTGGGTTATGCAGCATTTGGGAACAAGGCACCGGGCAACTTCCTAACAGGATTTGGTTTTTACGAGCCATACTGGCTTATCGACGTAGCTAATGTGTGCATTATTGTACATCTTGTGGGAGCTTATCAGGTAAATCCCAAGAACTGATTTTAGTCCTTTTGAGTATGGAACTCTAGAAAATCATATCTTCTTCATAATGCATTTCATTGTGGAAATATAGGTGTTCTGTCAACCAATATTCAAGTGCGTGGAAGACTGGTGCTCTAACCGGTGGCCAAACAACAGTTTCATAAAAGAAGGGCGCCCGATAAGCCTTCCTATCTTCGGGGTTTACCATTTCAGTGCTTTCAGGCTTGTCTGGAGAACAGCTTATGTGATTATGACTACCACTGTAGCGATGATATTCCCATTCTTCAACGATGTTCTTGGTCTGCTTGGTGGTGCTTCATTCTTGCCGTTGACTGTGTATTTCCCTATACAGATGCACATAGCAAGAGAAAAGATTCAGCCATGGAGTTGCAAATGGATATGGCTAAACGTCCTGGTTCTACTCTGCTCGGTTATATCACTTCCTGCAGCTGCTGGTTCCATTGAAGGAATTGTTAAGGATCTCAGAACCTATAAGCCTTTCACCTCTGTTTCTTAATGTCTTCATCTCCAATCTCCTTTCATAAGACAAAACAGTTTAGGAGATAGTGTTTTCTTAGGAAATTTATGTAGTGTGTTGGCATGAAATAATAAAAAGGTTGAGGGCAGCCACAGGAGGTCAACAAGTGAACTGAATCCTATATTCCAAACTATGTGAAGGGCAATGGCCTCCATTATTGTTTTTCCTTCTCGTATCCCCACTCCGGCGCTCCCCATCGCTCTCAAACCTGGATGCCACCAATACTAGGCAAAGGGCAGGGGTCAATAATATTTGGTTGATCGTTACCTTATATATTTTCTGATAATTTTCATTTTTGGGGAATACTTTTTTGTGATGGCTATTCCGGTGATTTGCGTTCGTATGATGTTGGGCTTCAAACCTGGCAGCAGAGTAAGCCCACGATCAATTTATGGAGCTAAGCAAATCCACAGGCCCTTGGGTGTCTCCTATGATACCACAAGAGCAGAAAACAAATTGTAGCTACACCGGCCAAGAAACAACACAAACATATTAAGACAATAGCATAGAAAACTAAAACGAGTAGCATTTAACATAACAAGTAGGCTTCGAAACAAAGACAGAATCAAAGCTCTCACAAAATACATAAGAAACACGTCATAAAAGACAACAAATCACTGGCTCACAAAATGCAAGCCCTCTCTCACACATACTTAGTACTCATCTTCACAATCCTCATCACCCTCAGCTGACTCAGCACCAACTTCTTCATAATCCTTCTCCAGTGCAGCAAGATCCTCACGAGCCTCAGAGAATTCTCCTTCTTCCATACCCTCACCCACATACCAGTGAACAAAGGCACGCTTGGCATACATAAGATCAAACTTGTGGTCAATGCGAGAGAACACCTCAGCAACACTGGTAGAGTTGGAAATCATGCAAACAGCCCTCTGGACCTTAGCAAGATCGCCTCCAGGAACAACAGTGGGTGGCTGGTAGTTAATACCACACTTGAATCCAGTCGGGCACCAGTCAACAAACTGAATGGTGCGCTTGGTCTTGATGGTAGCAACCGCAGCATTAACATCCTTAGGCACAACATCACCACGGTACATCAAACAGCAAGCCATATACTTTCCATGGCGAGGATCACACTTAGCCATCATAGATGAGGGCTCAAAGGCACTGTTGGTGATTTCAGCGACTGAGAGCTGCTCATGATAAGCTTTCTCGGCAGAGATGACTGGAGCATAAGAGGAAAGCATAAAGTGGATTCTTGGGTAGGGGACCAAGTTGGTCTGGAATTCAGTCACATCGACATTCAAGGCACCATCAAACCTAAGTGAGGCAGTCAAGGAGGAAATCACCTGAACCACAGAAGAATAACATTAGGGCAAGCCATTAAGAAAAGGACCACACAATCAAAGACGTTGGATAGAAATTCATGGTACCTGAGAGACAAGGCGGTTGAGGTTGGTGTAGGTGGGTCGCTCAATGTCAAGAGAACGCCTGCAGATGTCATAGATAGCCTCATTGTCAAGGAGAACGGCCACATCAGTGTGTTCCAAGAGGGAGTGAGTTGAGAGGACACTGTTGTAGGGCTCAACAACTGATGTGGAGACCTGGGGAGATGGGTAGACAGTGAAACCCAACTTGGATTTCTTGCCATAGTCAACAGACAAACGCTCCAAAAGCAGGGAACCAAGACCAGATCCAGTGCCTCCACCAACAGCATTGAAAACAAGGAACCCTTGGAGACCAGTGCAGTTATCAGCAAGCTTCCTGATACGGTCCAAGCACAGGTCAACAATCTCCTTACCAACTGAAACAAGAAAATAACTAATTAGTTCCAGTTAAAACAAATAAGCAAATCATAGACTAAGAAGCCAAAGAAAGCAGGTTAAAAGAATTTACTGGTGTAGTGCCCACGGGCGAAGTTGTTTGCAGCATCTTCCTTGCCGCTGATGAGCTGCTCCGGGTGGAAGAGCTGGCGGTAAGTACCAGTCCTCACTTCATCAATGACAGTGGGCTCAAGATCCACAAAGACAGCACGAGGGACGTGCTTCCCGGCACCAGTTTCACTGAAAAAGGTGTTAAAAGCATCATCACCTCCTCCAACGGTCTTGTCACTTGGCATCTGGCCATCAGGCTGTCAACAGAAAGGAAAACGCTCGTTATCCATTGACCAACCTTAGATTTCAAGGCTAAATAGCAACAGGCAAATAAATCTTAATGGATCTAACAAAATTGACACTCAAAATACTTTACATTTCAGTACTAAAAAAAAAAGCAAATGAACCAGATCTAAGCAAAAAATCCACCGGTATTTTAAAGAATCAAGCAAAAACCAACCAGATCTGATAGAGCACAGAGCCTAAAAGAAGAGAAAACCAAACATGAAAACTGGATATCTATAAATCTAAGATCTAATGGAAAATCAAACAAAAACCTAAAAATTTCTACGAATCTAAGCAGATCAAAGAGGCACATAGATAAACACAAACGCATGAAGAGATTCGTAGATAAAACACAGGTTTGAAAGAAATGAAGTTATTTACATTTACAAGGAGAAGCAAGAAATGCAGATCTAAATCAAACGGATAGGCAGCGAAGATAAAATCTGATTGCAAGAGAGAGGTATACCTGGATACCATGCTCGAGGCAGTAAAGCTCCCAGCAGGCATTCCCGACCTGGATACCAGCCTGACCGATGTGGATTGAAATGCACTCTCTCATTTTCGATTTCGATTACTGAAATTTCGAAAACAAAACACCGAGAAAACGCAGATCTAAAACGTTAAAGCTAAGAAAGTGAAGGCGTTTATGAAGACGCCTTCTGAGATAACAATTGAAATGGGGTGGATCTGAAAGCAGGGCTGGATAGGGATATTTATATTTGCAGAGTGGGACACAACGGCAGATATTTGAGAGTGGTGCTGTCACTGCAATGGTTAAGATTAGGGCAGGACGGCCTGAAATGCTGATGTGGCAGAACTTGATTGGATCTTTTCTAACTACCGTTTTAACCACGGTTAGTTAGCTTTTTCCACTTTTTCAAGTTTTGAATTTTGCCGCCCGGTGGGACTCGCTTAACTGTACAATCCGGTTGTTGCAACGTGCCCTAAATTGGGCCGATTGAAGGGCCTTGCTTGTGTAACTTTGTATGAACTCTGAACTTCATATTGTTATTTGTCTGTATTATTATATTGACTAATATCCAAAAAATTTTAAATAAATTTTTATATTTTTTTATTATATTCAATAGGTTCCTTTTTTTTTTCTTTTTAGTCAAATAAATTTTATAAGTAATGGTTAACTAATTATTATTAGATACAATACTTAAAAAAACCCCATAAATTATTCAAACAAATTTTTATTTTTTTATTATTTTAAGTTAATATATTTTATTTTAGGTCAAATTAGCTTTTATAAATAACAATTAATTAATTATTATTAATCAAAATATTATTTCTTATTTTATATTTATGTGATCTTAATTTAATATTAACGTGGAGTTAATGCAAGAGGTGAAAGTGTTATATAATTATGTTATTATATCAAATCAACATATCATAATACTATTTATTATAACTTATCAACATATTACGTAATATAAAATAACAAATTATATTTTAATTAATAATAATTAATCAATCAAATATCATAAACTTTTATTTAACTTAAAATAAAAATATAAAAACTTAATTGAACACAATCAAAAAATAATACATTTTTTAAATTTTTTTAAATGGTTCAAAGATTTTTTTAAATATTATGTCTTATTACTAATCAAAATACCACTTATTAAAATGTCACTCATCATTTTATATTACATAATTTTGACGTAGTATGTTAACATATCTTAATAGATGATAACGTAATATATTGATATGATAACATGACCATATGAAATTTGTACTTCTCACATCAACATTAAATGAGTATAAAATAATAAATGATATTTTAATTAATAATAATTAATTAATTATTAATTATAAAATTTTTTATCAAAAATAATATAAATATTATAAAATAACAAATCACGTACGTGATGTATAATAACAAATCACATTTTGATTAATAATAATTAATCAATCAATAATTATAAAAATTTATTTGATTTAAAATAAAACTATAAAAACTTAATTAAACGCAATCAAAAAATAATACTTTTTTTAATTTTTTAAATAGTTTAAAGATTTTTTTAATTATTATATTTTATTGTTAATCAAAATACAATTTGTTATTTTATATCATGTAATTAATGATGACGTAACATGTTAATATGATATGATAACAGGATTATTTAATATTTTTACCTTTTCTGTCAACATCAATAAAACATAAAATGATAAATAATATTTTAATTAACGATAAGTTATTAATCATTAATTATATAGATTTTTTAACTCAAAATAAAAATAAAAGCTTTTTCAAAAACAATAGAAAAATAAAATTTTATTTAAATTTTTTAAATATTTTAAAAGTTTTTTCAAATATTATATTTATATTTATAATTTAATTTCGTTCGATTTTTAAAAGTTATGAAGGAAAAAGCTAAAAAAAAGATTCAACTCCTATTTCTGCTATCATATTATTGACAATAAATGTTTATTTTCTTTCATTTTATAAATCTTTTCCCATTTCCTTTCATATTTCTTGTTTACTAAAATTGAATACTAAACACCCCAAGAATGTAGGACAAAATTAGTTTCCAAGAAATTGGCATTATCCTCCAGGCTCTAGCTTTAGAGCTAAAACAATGGCAAACTTGATTTGACGAAATGCAGTTATGGTAGACAAAGAGTTTGAAAAGGAAAGGCTCCTAAGAAATTCAATTATATAATATTTGCAAGAAGAATAAAAATCATCATATCACCATTTCATCAATTACAGATTTTCCCAAACTTGTCAAAAGCACTGCATATATCCTCCTACTGACTCGAGGGTCCTATTCCATGCTGTAACCCAAATACATGGTTAACCAAGGATTAAGAGTGTTAACAAACAAATGGCAAATCCATCATTTATTTATTGCATGTCCTACCATATTAATCAATAAATAAGGAGTTGCAATCATCCATAGACATGAATAAAGCTTTTTCTTTTGCTTCTTATTTTTGGCGATTTTCATATAACAACGATCTATCAATTTCACGGCTTGCATGACAACTAACTACTCCTAGACATCTAAGCAATACTTGTGTCCATGAATTACTTTGAAAACAAATAAAATGGTTATCTGAAAGACAACCATTCAGTGGCCATCTTCTCATTATCCCTGTATCCCTCGCTGCAGGTATTTCTTTACAAACACACTTATGTATGTAAATTAGATTAGAGACTATTTCTCCAATTTCTTCACTTAAAAGCTGGAAATCAAGTGGCAGGATGTGTACCAGTCCAGGCACGCTGGTCATCAACAAGTTCATTGATCCTTTGGTCACGGCTTTCCTGCACGTATGTTACCCCCATCCATATCCCGCGTATGAGTAAGATGCTTACAAACACAATACTTCCAAGAGTGCAAACCACCTATTTTCAATTAAAACATGTTAAAAGAAAATGAGTGGCAGAACACAAGAGACAATCAGTAAGTAAAACTCTCAAGTTTTGGAAATACACAATTTTTACATTGAATAAGTAAAGAAGCTCTCAGCGTGTAAAGCTCATAACCAAATCTCAAGCTATATTAGCACAATATTCAAAAAAGTTAACAAAGACATGCATATATTTGTATATTTTAGAAAGTAAATGGAAGCATATGCACATATAATTAGTTTAATTATTTAACAATCGCATGCACAAGCAAGAACTGAAAGCTTGGCTGGATAAGTTTTCAAAACCATATTCCAAGTAATTAACATTTCAAGGAAACTTCTATTAATGCTCAATGAATTCATGTTTAGGTAAAATAACCACAATTGACTAGGAATTGACATCCCCTCCAAGATAAGAGTGCTCTGCAAAGGATATTAGCCAGCATTGGTCCTACAGCAATATGTAGTGCAACACTTTGTTTGCTCATAGGCTTTACTTTATTAATTGAAAAGAAAAGAAGAATCATACTTTGAGGCATTCTAAAATGTCAAACCAGTAAGTGTTTGCCTCTCAGTTTCTGGCCAAGATCACAAGTCCATAAAGCAAAGGTCCTTTCATAGTCTTGATACTAAAATTACCTCAAAGCTGCAAGAGAACCAAAACTGCACTCCCACAATCCCACTCACTATTTAGATTTCTACATTAACAATTGTTTATTGGTTCACAATACACCCTTTTGTACCCAACCAAAAAGGCCAATCACCAAGTTGAGGTCAATATCACCAATATCCAGACCAAGCCAGAATTAAAAGGGAGACACTGGCAGAAAAATGGCTAAAAAAAGGTTGGACACCAAAACTTGAGCAAGCATATTAGAGACTATTGTTTTTGAGTTTCCAGCAAACAAACAAGTTCAATGTTAATCCTAAGCTATCAGTCGGACAATACTTCATTTCAGTTCATTGACCATTCAGCCCCTTCTAATTATAATTAGCTTACCCTTACATTGCCCAACTCAGACTTATCCCTCTTGAAATCAATATTTTCCACTTACGTTATCATAGATTGACATATTCAATCCCTTTAGTCTTATTAGAGTTATTGCATTACTGACACTTACATTGTATTTGTGCATATAGTTAAGATACTATTGAACTGAAGATCAACTTAGGTCTGAACTGACAGTTGGATGTGATTGGGAATGAATTAGAGAGATCGATAACATTGCTAGATGCTAGATGCTTCTGGAAACGATGCTTATTCTATGAGACTACATAAAATAACAAAATTGGTAAGCAGAGGCAGATTTAAGTGATGAATTACCTCAAGAAATGCCTTTAAAACCCACAAAAATGCCAGCATCAGGACTCCATTAACAGAGAATCCCACCTACATTAACGCAAAAGAATGGATGAATTCAACCAGAGATACTGCAGAATAAAATGAAAAGAATATGTAAACCAAAAGGTACCAGTTTAGTGGATATGGAGACCGGCAAAACAGCTCGTACGGCCTTCCTTGCTCGTTTAGATATCTTTCTAAATACGTTTTGAACAAATCTAATTAACAGATCCAAACTCCGATCTTCGTCTTCATCTTCGTCTTCGTCTTCGTCTTCATCCTCGTCTCCTTCTTGATCATCATCGAACTCGGAAGTGATCGAACGGCCCCAGTTGCGCGGGCCATCCACAAGATTATCAGTCCCCTGAATAAAACTAAAAAAGCTTGGTTATAAATACAGAAAAATAAAATTCCAATCGGAAAAAAAAAAAGGAACTGAAAAGGAAAGAGACCTGAGGGAAATTGGGGACCCTTCTGGAAGCAAGAAGGAGCTGAAAGGAGTGGGTTTTCAGGAGGAGGATTTTGGGGTTGCTGAAAAAATGAGACGGCGGTTTTCTGTAAGGGAAGCTAGCCAGAAAGGTAGGTGAGAGTGTGATGGTGGAAGACATAGCGGTCAGAGAAGAATCGGCGCTAGTTGGTAATGCAGTTATCGACTTGCTTAGCCTTTGAGACTGGCAATTTTGGAAATGGAGAGTGCAGTAGCAATAACATACTAACATGCGTTATTCTGAGGGGTTTTTTTTTTTCTTTTATAATTTAGGACAATAATTTTGATTAAAATTTTGCTGCAAACGGCCTTTTTCTTTCTTCAATACTTGTCAGAAGTTTTGGTTGATTTTTCTCCTGACTTAGTAATTTTTATGAAAAAAAATTTAAGAAAGAAACTAGTAGTACTTAATAAAAGTATAATCATTTTTAAATTAATTTTGATGAATCCATGCTTCTTGTTCTGCAGCTAAAACCCGTAAGATGTCCAAAATCACAGTACTAGTAGCAATAACTACTACTGGTAATTTTCTTTCTCTTTTTTTTTTTTTTTGAATTTATTGAAGACAGTTGTATGGCTTATTTTAAAAGAAATATCAAATCTTTCAAATTTGAGATTGAAATTAGTGATGAGAAAACAGGTTGTAGTCAAATTACAGGATTTATATAATGTCTTTTTTTTTTTTTGGTGCATGCCAGTACATGTTGCGAGATGAACTGATGAAGAAAGATTATATTCAAAAAAATATATAAAGAAATGTGATTAACACCAAAACTTTTATTTAATCATTTGAATGTTGCTGAAACAGTGTTTAGCAGAACCAAAATGAGAAAAAAAAATGAAGAAAGAAAGAGGAATTAGATGTGCCTATCATAGTTGGTACAGAGAAACATCCTGACAAATAGTATAAGCTCATTAGGAGCTAAAGTAGAAACTTTCTGATGATGATATGTGCATTAGAATATGTATCAGTGAGCTAAGGCAAGTTTGCTACACTAAATTCACTCCACTCTCCACTGATCCATTTCACATGCAATAGACAAGTACCATGAAATCCCAGAGCCCAGTCCCAAATTAGTTCTGGAATTAGTTCATGAAATCTTCAAGAGCAGGGTCTGGACTGGGCAGGTTCCCTAACAGGGTTCAGACAGAAGTTCAATTTCTTGCAAAAAATAAGCAACTGCGCCGGTTCCAACACATAAAAGATTTTAAGTAAAATTGCCATGATCAAAAATAATAATAGTGACAACAACGTTAACATAAATACCAAGCTACCAGCTAGAGTGCTAAGCCAATTTGTACATACAAATTTAAAAGGGCATAAACGTCCATTTCATTAGAAAAAAAGAAGGCCATAGTCATCACCAACAAAAAAGTTGGCAATCAATCATGGCACTTACAAGCATCAAAAGCCACTTAAGAGACTGCAAATTATCATTCTGCTCTTCCCCTCTAGCAAAAGACTTGCTCATATATACATAAACATGTATGATCTTCCTAATAAACCTAAAACAGCATCTCTACCAGAATCAAGGAAAGCAGTCACTAGCAACTATGCATTGTTTTGCCCTTCTCCAAGATTACAATGAAGTCCAAAATTCCGTCTCCCTTGAAATCGAGGAAATGGTCGACCAGGTGGGACAAAAACAGGTGGAGCCAAAACAAGCCCTGGCAAGCGGTCATAATCACCACCAATCATCAAAGGACCCAAAAATGGATTAGGATCTCTCCTAATTGGGAAGTAAAATGGCCTCTCAACACGAGGAAACCCTTGCCACCTGGGAATTCCCCGCTTTGGCTTCTTCCTACTCTCCCAACAAGAATGAAACATCTCTTTCCAATTCCCTATTTCCATTGTTCCTGAGCAATCTCCAAACTCCTCTCTGAATTTCTGCTTCCACAGATCATTATTCGAAGCCAGATATTGCATCTCTGAGCAAACACACCCCATTCTCGCAATATCAGCACCAGGCAAGGACTCCAGAATCCTAAGCTTTAACTCTGTTGGTAGACGCATCAAACAAGCTGGAAGAGACAAACCAGTCCTATACGAAAGATCTATCAACAATGGCAATGCAAGCCCATCCTTAACAATCTTCCAAAACTCAAAAACTTCATTTTCAGGATATGAATTATTATTATCATTCGTACTATCATTCTTATCAAAGTTTGCCCACACTAAATCCAAAGTTGGTGCAAACCTATATTCATCCAAGGACAATTTATATAACCCTGAACCCCCCTTAACCAAAGACCCATAAACCTGAACAAAATGGCCTAAAGTTTGAAACTTTAAAACAGCATAATCAGTCAAATTAGAACCAGAATTATCATTATTGGTCAAAAGTTCAGGTACGGAATAACAAATTGAGACAGGTGAAGGCCACTCATCTGGAAAATGAAACCCATCAATTTGCAGTCCTGAAACGGGATCAAACCCGACAAAGCCTGATTCCAGTAAAACCGCGTGGACTGCAATCGCCAAGAGCTTGTGATTGCTACCATCACCAGCAAGCTCTTCCTTTAAAACCTTCCTCAAGAAATAGGGCTCAGAGAACCTTTCGCTAACCGAAAAGGCATCGATATCCATAGATTCTGTTCCTTCGGTTTCTTCAGTTTCTTGAGAACCTTGGGGTTCTGTTGACATGGGTTCTTGTAATTGAGGCAATTCTTGACCTGAGGCATCTTGGTTGGTGCTGGATTCTGGAATCTCATTCGTTTCTTCAACAAGGGTAACTGTTTGAAGGTCTTGATTGGAAGAAATGGGAGAAAAAACCATAGGGTTAAGCGAGAAATAGATAAGGTCACCCGGTGAGACACCGATGGATTGGAGTGAAGCGTGAGGGGATGGCGCGTGGAGCAGGTCCTTGGCGTTGAGGGAAAAACGGAGAGAAGATGGCGAAGGATGAGGGATAGGGAGGGATAGGGAGAGGGTTTCCTGGAGTTGGAGGAAAGAACACGGAGACGGAACTTGGATTCTCAGGGTTTCTTTTGATTCATAATTTCTCAGTCTCAGTTTCATCTTTGTACTTCAAAAAATGAAACAATTAAAAAGTGCTCAAACGCTATTGATCATGAAAAAGAAGAAGAAGGGGATTCTTTTTCTTGGCTGTTAAGAAACGTAGGCGCGTAAGATTGTCACCACAGTGGAGAGATCGAATGGTGCATCCAAAATGAATGTCTGGTGTCATCGGCTTTACGGCCCGTTAAATCTGGATTTTTTTAATTACAAATTGGTATAAAAGAAAGAAAATAATTATAAATGAGATTAAGTGTAGGGAGAAGGTGAAGAGTTTATTAAAGTGTGTATTTATAAATAAATTAAAAAATTTATTTATATGTTAACAATCGAATTATAATCTTATAATTAAAGTTTTACAGCTAAGGTTTTTGAGAGGGTAAAAAATGTTTTAAAATGATGTAATTTTAGGGAAAAAAACAAGATAAACGAGAAAACAAAAAAAATTATTAAAAATAAGGGCTTAAACATGATGCTAATGAGTTTAAACTTAATAAGTTTTGAGTTTAAACCTTAGCATGTCACTACCTCACAACACCACTGATATTATTTTATTTAAAAATTAAATTAGATATCATTAAAAGAGGTCTTAAAATTGAGCAATTAAAACCCTTTTAATATGCCTGCCACATTAGCATGTGAATAACAATGCCACATCAGTATGTTGCTGCCCTACAACATCATGTTAGTGCTGACGTAATCTTATTTAACAACTTAATTAGATGTCGTTAAGGAGAAATCTCAAAATTAAAGGATTAAGAGCTCTATAGTATTTTGACTACACAGATTTGTTACGTTCTCCAACAATTAGTGCTCCCTTTATTAATTTTTAAAATAATTTTATCTTTTATTAATTTAAAAATTATTACTATATAAACTATAAATTTTATTTTTTTATTTTTTTAAAAGAAAATTCTTTCAACTCAGCCATTTAGAGTCGGCATTGTTCCCTTGGAGTGCACAATTAGGGAAACACGATGAATGAAGTACCAGATTTAGTGCCTCCTTGAGGAGTGTGATCAAGGAAGTGCAAATTAGTCAAAATACCTGAGAGATCTATGTATTCATGCATTTCATTTAATTTAGTTTCTCTATTCCAATTTGAAACAATTTAATTTTTTAATTTTAAAAATTGTTTTAATTTAATATTTTTCTTTAACAGCATCCAATTTAACCATTAAATAAAATGACGTCAATGTTAATATAGTATACTTTTACTGACGTAATGGTGTTGGATAGTAATATGCTGACGTGACACTATCACATTACCCTCACATGTTGATGTGACGTTGTTACGTCATCTTTTTAAGTTCAAAGGTTCAAACTTAAAACTTTTATTAAGAACACTAAACTGCTTATCATCATACCTAAACTTTTAAGTTTAATATTTTTTTTAAACTATATCATTTTAAAACCTTCTTACACTCTCAAAAACCCTAACTATAAAAGCATCTATTTTTATTTTTTCCTTCCCTTCTCTCTTTCTACCTCCTCTCTTTTTTCTTTCTCTTATAATTAGAGTTTTATAGTTAAAGTTTTTAAGAGTGTAAAAAGAGTTTAAAACGACCTAATTTAAAAAAATAAAAATAAAACAAAATTAAAAAATTAAAAATAAACAAGATGGTGACATGACAATCCTTCCACAGCACCATGTATGACTTCCAATTCTATTTAATAACTAAATTGGATGCAGCTAAGAGAAGATTCCAAAATCGAGAAACTAAATTAAACAAAAAATATGAGTACAAAAATTTTTGCAAGGTGGTTCGTTGGTGTAAGAAAGCTCTGCTGATCAACTTGAGAGAAAGGAAAAGAGTAAGAAAGAATGTCATTTATACGTTTAATATGGACTCTTTATTTTAAAAATTAATAAACTTGCATATATTTGTTATCAAAACTCAACAAAGTTTGTATACTTTATCCTAAAACTTTTTTTTTCTATTTTGACTATTTTCTAATGCTATCTAAGTTTCGGCTGCTTGTGCTGTTAGTTAAGTGAAAACTGTCCAGAAAAAAAAAAGGAGAAAAATTAATCCAATTTTTAAGTAATAAGATATTTTCTACTTAAAAAAAATCATAATTAGTCAAGTAAACGAGTTTATCTAATTAAGTTTAATTATTCAAAACCTAACATAAGCCTTAAAATAAGATTCAATCGAGTTAGAATTGAACTTCGAACTTTAAAAGATTGTAATGGGCCAAAACAAGCTTTTGGGGCCGAACGTTACACCAAAATCAGTCGAAGCCTAGAGAAATGTTTCTGACAAGCCTTGGTGCCAGAGCTGGGGTGACACGAGAGCTTTAGCTCATTGTCCTGTTTCGGGTTCTTCAAACTTGAGATACTAGCTTCTACTGTTGTATTGAGTACCTTTGGTCTTGGTGTGCTGATATTTGGTTTTCCCTGCTTTCCTTCCATGGATATTTCACTTACAATGAAAAGAAAGGAGAAAACTGAGGGATGAAAGCAACCGAAGAACTTGGAAAGGAGCATAAAGTTAGAAGGAGAAAAGAGTCATTCACCCTTTCCACATCTCTGATTTTGGAAATAATATGCATAATTTTTCAAGGGTTATCCTTGCCATGAACAGTAGCTAGAATTAAGGGTAGATGGTTAAGCTCCAAGTTTGTCTAAATGATAATAACAAAAAACTGAAATGTATTTCTTCCCTCTTATATTACAGAATAACTAGAAATGGTGTAGTCATCAGTCATCACCCTACTGAAATGTAGGTATGGACAGAATATAAACAATTAATACAAGTAACCTATTTACAGATCGCCCCTGAAAAATGGATCACTGAAGAATGGGCTGGAGAATGTACCTCCTCCATTAGGGAAAAGAGTGAGGAAGCAGATAAGACCTAGAACAACACCCCAAGCAAACCTGTTATCTCCCAATGGGGTGATCTCATCTTTTGCTGGCATTTCTTCTCCACCCCGAAAGAAGGTTGCGAATAATCCCCATGCCAAACAAAGGACACTTCCACTAAGACCACCGATGCCAAGGAGAAGGGATGTGGCGAATGACAATAAAGTAGCAATATTTCTTCCAAACATAGCTTGAGCTATGCGGCCACCTTCAAGTCTCCCACAGGGCAACAAGTTCAAAGAAGTCACCACCATTCCTGCAGAAGAATAACATAGTCAATAACGTAGAAGTGGCAATTTAGGGCTGCATGTGTGCTGCCTCCAATACAAGTGCACTTCAGTAGAAGGAAAGAGGGGAAAGGAAAGTTTCTTCTAGGTAGTCATGTGGTAAAGTTGCCATTACTCTTTGAAGTCTTGACCATATATTGCAGTAAAAATGAAAAAGCGAGAGAATCATGGATATGTATTCACAAAGCTGTCTAAATGGAAGTTCCTTATAATTCTGTACTCTTTAGTAGCTTCACGAAGTGATGAAACAAGTATTAAATTTCAGTGTCCTTTAATAAGTTAGTCATCCTTTACAAATCTATATAGACAACAATTTGTGCTATCCTGCAGCCATGGAAGTTAATAAAATTGATAGCAAGGCTAAGAAACTTACCCAAAAGGCCAGCAAAAGCAAGGGGATCGACAGGAACTCCTACCCCTTCCACAGCATATGGTAAAACATTCCCAAGGTCATCTGTATATGGTCCGATAACAAATTGGATGAAAGAAAGCAATGGATTGTTGTAGAAGAATTGAGGCCTTATGTACCTAAAAATAAAGAGCACAATTTATAAGCACATCTGAAATGGATTTATTCACATCTGATTATAGAAATAAGCTGACAATCCATACTAGAACCTTCAACAGGCACTGATATAATTTCCAAACTGTCTTCACCTCTATTCTCACTGAGGCTCTAGCCAATTGCCTGAATTACAGGATTGTATGCTTTGTTGCCAATTTTTTGAGTCTTTGATGTATTTCTAGTATAATGGAATTAATATAGTAATATGTCACATATACATTTCTTCCCAGTGTTATGATCAAAAGGTTAACCAGTCAGGCATTAATGTTTTCCTTCGTTTTCATTTTTTTTTTCTTAAACAGAAGAACTAGTGTTTGTAAACATGCCACGGTAAAAAACTTACAATGCATTATCACCACCATTAAAGCTGCCATCAGCTACAAAAGCAGCAACTGCAAGCACCAGTGATGTCAAATAAGCACTTGCTGTTCGTGCCACTGGAATATCAAAAAGAGCCTTCTTATTTGGAAGAAGTGACTCATAATTGTTCATCACTCCCAAACAGCCTGTCCAATTGGACGGAACAAGAAAGGAGGGGCTGAGTTTAACACCATAACGAGCAGCTGTTACCCTTGTGGCTATCTGCCAAACACAATATACAGCCTTGAATAACTTTGTGCATAGCCATTTAGCAAGAGTGCAGGAAACTATTCTATATATAAAAAACGCAAGTTCTACTTTAAATGCCTTGCTGTGAATCTCACCGTTCAGATGAAAAAGAGTAAGGAACAGCCCTTGAATAAACACAAGAACACATAACTATTATTATTTTAGCCAGAATGAAAAAGGTTAATGGAAAATTACCATATTATAACCTGAAAAATAGGATCAGACATCAGATAAGGTAAATATTAGGTATGAAGTTTCATACAGAAAGTTATCAGATACCTCAGAAACTCCCAAAATGGAGACAAAGCCACCAAAGAGAGGGACAACATCAGCCAGATAGTCATCAAATGTAGCACCAGGTTTCAGGAAGAATCCACTCATCAGAGCAATTGTCCCAAACGTTGCCACGCATAAGGCTATTGCACTAACATATCCCCAAGGAGTGCTCAGCTTGGTAGACTCAAATTGCAGATCTATTTCTGCTTTAGGTTGCACCACACATGCCTTGAAGTACAAGAATAAATTTTTTGTTGTGAAAGATAAAGTACAAGAATAATTAAGTTAGGCTCTGAAAAGAAAACATAAATATCTTCTTATTCTGCAATCATAAATGCGACCATAGTTAGCAAAACTTAATATCAGCTCCTTTTGAGTTACCTGTTTTGTAATGTCATTTGTTTTTTCCTCCATGAACCATAAGATGACTTCCCTGCCTGCAGCGTCAGATAGCTTTTTCTCCAGTATAGGGATGACCTCTTCAATGGGTCTTCTCAAATTCCCAATGTAAATCCCCCCATCTCCAAATCTTCGAGCATCAGTTGCAAAAAATGTATCAAATCCAAAACAGCTCTTTAACTGTTATGTCAACATCAACACAACAAAGTAAGCCTTTAATATTCTTTGACATAGCCTTCTACAATTAATGGTGATAGAAAAGTGATCTAATTCTTAACTAACTGATAACATTACAAACAAGTTATGATGTACATCTAATGCACATGAGCAACAAAATAGGATGGATCTCAACAATTTTCAATACTATAAATACTCAATCATTATAATAAGATTACAAACCCTTGTCAAAAACATACAAATACAGAAGAGCAACCAATATCTACCCAAACCTTTAATAAATGAAAGCTGCTAAGAGTTTGTATGAAAATTCAACGCGGCAAAATTTGAATTCTTGCTTAAATGCATCCTAAGGATAATTCAATACTCGAAGAATTTATTTTAGCAAAAGCAAACACTAGCGCAGTTCTAATAAAGTTTGAAAATCCTAGTAGAATTGAAAAAAAAAAAAATCACCCTGTTAAGATCAAGAGCTTTGAAGGTCTCCTCTGCTTGTTCCAACCTTTCCTTCTCTCTCGTCAAATTATCACGCACCAGTTTATTGAAAAGCCCCACGATTGGGTTACCACTGCTTTCCCTGTCAAGCTCCTTGAGCTTCCTATCGGCTCTCTTCTTCTCCAGCTTTATTGCAGCCTCAATAGAAGGGTTTCCCATGAACTTCTTAAACTCTTCATCCGCCTTCCAGTCCATTTCTTGCTGGTTTTCTTTCCCCTCAGTTTCTTCATGTTCTTTACTCAATCCAACTTCTTGAACACTCCTTGGACTGTCATTTTCATTGCTTGGCTCCTCAGATGCAACGGCAACTGAAGACGAAGAAGTAGGTTCACTTTCTTGCTGATCCTTAACAGAGGACTTGAGAGGTTTTAACCTTCTTGAAAATGAACGATAGTAGTAACCTTTAACTGCTAAATCAAGCGGCTTTCTTGGATTGGAACTCGAATTTTCAGAAAATGAAAGATGGGTTTTCTTGTCAAGTGAACTGTTGTCACCAAAGGATGATATAATGGTAGATAAACCTGTGCCAACATTCTTGTTCTTATGTTTCTTCTTGTGATTGGTGTAGAGACTGCATGAAGACAAGGAAGAGTGCGAAGTGAGGAAGTAAGTAGCCATGCCAAGAAGTAGAATGCTGGACTGAGAGATAAAAGGAAGACATGTTGAAGAGAGTAATATGAAAGGGCGAGAGACATGTCTAGAAAGATGGAGAAGTTTTACAAGCGGACTGGTTCAGGGAGACAGAGACAAAGTAGGATCATTTGTGTGGTGGTCGTTGTTGCTGAGGCCGGGGCTGAAATTTTTGATTTTCATCCAGTTTGCGACTCCGTGACTCATTAGACACGTGGCATCTCGAACTCAAAAAAGCTAATTTACCTAAGTACTCCAGTCCATTTTGTTTCTACATAGTCAACATCATTATCTCAAAGGACGTGAACTTAATTTTCACAATTTTGTTTCAACAACTGTAATTTTCACGGTTGTTTTATTAGCCAAACTATGCTGGCAACTCTGGAGGGATACCGATGGCTTATGGGTGAATCTTCTGAAACAAAAGTATTTAAGGCATCAAACTTTAATGTCTGCAGCCACGAGATCTTCTGATTCTCAAGTACGGAGAAGTATATTGAAGGCCAGGCCGGTCCTATTTAATGAATTGGGGAGGAGAATAAGAAATGGACATGACACCAAATTTTGGATAGAGCCTTGGCTACGTCCATTAGTAGAGCATGTAAGTGCAGATTTATTAGCAGTCGAAACTGAGCTTCCGGTGGCGAGCTACTGTGATGAATACGGAAGATGGAATATGGAACTAATTACGCTCCTTCTCCCTCAAGATATAAGCCTTATGATCTCTGCAGTGATGACAGACCCATCAGGAGAGGACGCAGACGATTCCTACTGGTTACACTCTAGTGCAGGTATGTTCACAGTTAAGTCTGCTTATGAGTTGCAATTGGCTGATCACAATTTCCAAACAGCAAGTTGGGAAAAGTTTGAACTTTATATTCATCAAACAAGGTAAGGATGTTTATTTGGAGGGTACTACATGAATCTATCCCAACTACTTCATGGCTAGAAAATCAAGGCTTGCTACCTTCACCTGTATGTCGATGTTGTGGGTACTATGTTGAAAATTTAATTCACGTGTTCCGAGAATGCAATAGAGTTAAACAGACGTGGTTAGCTATATTTCCAGATTTGGCAAAAGGAGATTTCTTTGTGCAGGAATTATAAACCTGGATTTTGAATAATATGGTGCTTTTTGAAGATATTCCATGGGGGTCTGTATTTGTTCATGCTTTATGGTATTTTTGGTTTTGGCGCAATTGATCTCTTTTTGATGGGAAGTTCTCTTGGCCTTGCAATGCAAAGCAAATCATCTGGACAAAGGCCAAAGAAGCCGGAGACAGCTTACGACATGGCCAACAGAAGGTTAAGCATGAGACATTGATTAGTTGGATAAAACCTATGAACTCTTTTGTCAAGCTGAATGTAGATGGAAGTGAGCGGAAGCCGGTGGACTTATTCGAGACAGCTCTGGTGAGTGGCTAACAGGTTTCACTTATAAGATGGAAATGTCACTTAATTCACATAAACTTACATGATATTCTTCTTGTAAACATCTTTTATTTATTATTAACAGATTCTTTGGCGTCCAATGGCTTAGGATTTTATTTTAAGCTAATTCAATAAAATTTTCCCTTTATATAAAAGAAAAAACACGGTAAAGGACAAAAAAAGAGAAGAGGGGTATTTTCGGAATACGGAAGAATAACAAGGTCGGTTACAATTTTGCAAACGCGACGCAAATATCCCAATGTATATATTTGTTTTTCTTTATATATTCTCTTCTGTTTCATCAGCGTTCTATGGAAATAAAATAAAGAATAACAAACAAAGAACGGGCGGATTCCTTTGGGGTCTCACACTTCCTTCCTTTCGCCTCACGCGCCTCTTTCAAATACTCTATACATCTACTTCTACTCTCTCTCTCTCTCTCTCTATCTCCAGCTCTCTCCATCACTCCCCACTGCTAAAAAGTACGTTTTTTCTTTTTTTCTTATGTGTTTTCAGCCGCCCATTTCGATTTACAGACTGCAATTTGATACATGCGATTTTGAGCAAAAAAAAAATTGATACATGTGACTTTTGAATTAGTTTAATCATTAGGGCTACTAATGTTGTTTTTATTTTTTATTTTTGGAGGCTTGACATGCAAATAATTTTGTGTTTTTGGGGTAATGGGAATTTGGGGGTTTTGTTTTGATAGAATTATTGGGTCAAACCTAAGGAATTGGCTGCATTTACCACATTCTGGTGATTGTTTCATTTTTCTAGCCAATGACTCAAAAATTGATCTTTCCATTTTTTCTTTGTAGTTGGGTGCATGAGACTGACTGAGGCAGGTGCATGAATGGCTATTTGTTTGCAGATATTTTTTTGAATTTTTTATTCATAGAATTAACGGATGCCCAAATTTGGAATTGATGTTTCTGTGGTGTTGGAGTTAATCTTTGGGTTTAATTAGGTGTGTCTGTTTTTTTTGTATTTTTGGCAGTGCTTTGTTGTTTTGTTCATTTAATTAGGCTCTTGATCAATTACATTAGCTGCCAAGAGAAAAGATGAAGTGGAAGTTAGAGTTTCTGAGACATGCATGTGCAGGGTGGACAACTCTATAATAGTTGTGCTTTTTAATTATGTCTTGCTACCGAATGTGATGCAACCCCCTTATTGCCTCAGGTGTATGGGAAAAGGTAAAATGTTTAATTACCTTTATAAGAGTGAAGTGTTTTTTAAGGGTTTTTATGAGTTTCTCTACATTGCCTTTTGTTATTATTATAAGCGTTCTGTTAAGAACCATTGCATGGGGCTTTCAGAGTTACAGTCACCTTAGGATAAATAGTTAGCTCTATTAACTGCTGATAAGAACGAGAAAGAAATAGTAGTTGAAGTGTCAAAAACTCACCAAACGGTAGAGTTAAACTGTCTGACTTTTATAAAATATCCCATTGCATCATCATTAGAGTTATGACGGAAATATTATCTTATTTAACAACTGGCGAAAGGGTAATGCGGAGCACATAGTGCTTTGCATCGTAAATGCGTGGTAGAGCCATCATTTTGTTGTTTTAAGTTTTTACATGGTAAGCTCATCAATTCATGATTGATATTTACTTTTCTTCTTGTTTGTCATTGGACCTTGTTGAATTTGTAGAAGTTGCTCAATCATATTTGTCTATTGTGATGAAGTTTCTCAGTTTCATTATTTTCATAATTTTTTTGACAATGCATGGTTTTTGGCCTTAACTGCTATTATTTTGCAAACTCTCTTCCAGTCTACACGCTGCTAAAAAAAAAGAAAAAAAAAAAGGAAGAAACTTATTCAACTCTCCTTTCATTGGCGTTCTAACTTGATATGATGGTTATTAGTTTTGTAGTTGTTCTTTGAGGCTGACCAGATTGCTGCGATGGCAAATAACCCCCAATTTTCAGGTGTACAGGTAATGTGATTAAAACAATGTTTTTCCTAATAGAGGTTGGTGTGAATGTTATTAACAAATAAGATTTTTTCCCTCAATAGTACTTGAAGGTGTATGATGCTTGCAAGTTCTTTCATTCTTTTTCTTTTCTATTTATTCATTTTTTGAGTATCATGCGTTATACATAGTTTCGACATCAAAAGTATAATGCATCAAAAGTAATGTAGTTACTAACTTACTGCTTTAGGTGTATGTCTGGCACTTACACTCATGTCTCAAGTTAAGGCTTTCACCGGCTTATGTGTGTATGTTTTTTTTTTCATATTGTCATTTTTTTTACCTATTTGATTGTTGGTTTTCTCATGAAAGTTTATAGGACTTTTTATCTTATATTTTTCTCAAAGGACAATAGAATCTTTTTGTTAATGAGTTTCATATATTTATGTTAGTTTAGGTAGAAAATATTTGCATGATACTAAATAGCAATATGTTCCCTTATGACTGAATTAATCGGGTTTGTTTCTTTCCCTCTCAATGGAAAGAATTCTTGAATGTTCATGACTGGAAAAGTAAACTATTCCGTAGCAAAATTTGTTTAACCATATATAGTTTTTTATGTTTTTTTGTTTTCTCTTTATGTTAATTTTCCAATTATTTTAATGTTTTGGAATTTTTAGTTTCATGCTTAATCTCATCGAAGGACTAAATCATTTGACCCATATTCATGACTTATTTTGACAAATAGCGTGCTAATTGCTTGTTTTTACTTGTATTAGCCTCACCCGCCTCCTTTAGTTGGCTCGATGGATCCTCCTCGAAATTTTCCACCACCTATGTCTGCTCAGGTAAAAACTTTTTTTTTCAGGTCTTCTGTAATGCCTACGTTGTATTATTCGACACAATCTATCTACCTAAACTATATTTCAATTATATGTTCGTATATTATGCAGTTCCGACCTGTTGTCCCATCACAGCAGCCACAACAGTTTGTTCCGGTAGCTCCTCAACCGTTTCAACCTGTTGCCAGAGGAGTTACTGTGATGAATTCTGGGTTTTCTCCTCAAACTCAGCAACCCCAATTTCCTCAAGTAATGCAGCAGTTACCAGCAAGACCAGTCCAACCAGGCTATATTCCCCCTGCAGCACCGGGAATTTCATTGCCAACTGCTCAGCCACATCGTCATGTCAGTCCAGGGGCATCACTGCCTCAACCTAATATTCAAACTCCAAATAACTACATGTCTGGGGGCCCAGCATCACACCTCTCTTCGTCGTATCCTGTAAGTGATTCAGATCGCATTGTGCTTAGTAGTTAGTGGTAGTGAGATCTTTATACCTTGATATTCTATATTCTTGTGTCTGCAGTTTGCATCTTCTTATGGTCAGGCTCCAGTGTCTCATAATGCAATGGCTCAATATCAACCCATGCCACAATTGCAGGCACCAAGTGTTTCAGTTGGAGGCCATGTGGGTATCCATGTGAGCCAGAGTTCTTCTTCTGTTATACCTGTGCAGCAAATTGTTGAACAGCCATCTGTTTCCTCAGCTACCATACCAGTAAGGACATTCATCTGCCTCCACCTTTTGCTGCACATATCCACTCAACACAATGTTTCCCTTCCTGTATTTCTTGTGCTATTTTATTCTTGAAATTTATTACTTTTTGCTATTGAGAGTGCATGCACTTAGTGCAAGTATCACATTGAGTTTGCAATTTTATAAAATTTCAGGTGCCTAGCATTCAGCCAAAACCCAC